CACGTGATCCACAACAATGCTGTGCACTCCAATGACCACGTGATCCACAACAAAGGAGCGCAGCCCAATGGGGCACAATATGAAGGTGGAGACCGAGATGCACCTGAGCTTTATCTCCTGAAGGCCCTAGAACCCCCTGAGGACGAGACGTTGGATGATGCGTTGCTTACTCTGACAGAGAACCAAAACCAGCTGCTTGAAGATTTACAAGAAAGGGCCGAGCGACTGAGGTTCATGATTGAGGAGGAGGAGATCCTTGCTGAAGAATGCCGTCGAGCGGGGCAGCAAACTTCCGAGGAGGTGGAGAATGTGCGAGCCTACTTGGATGACATGATGGACGAGGCGAATCTCCTAAGGACTGTGAACCACGCCAAGGCCACCGACGCATGTCTGAAGGCAATGATCACGCACGAGGAGCCGGACTATGAAAGGCTTCTGCAGAACCTAGAGGGTGACTTAGAAGTAGTACATACGGTGCCTCTTGATCAAGTACGAGCGGCCTTGGACAATTGGATGGAAGCACTGGAAAAGGAGGTGAATCAGCTCCTGGAGGGTACATTGAAACCAATGCCCTTATCCAGGGCAAGGGAGCTCGAGAAAAAGGGGCTCCTCAAGCTGGTACCCTCAAAGGGGGTTTATATCCTCAAACCACCGTCGGTGAAGGGCAAGAAGGTCAGACGCAAGTTTCGTCTCGTTCTTTGTGGAAATCATGTGGGACGAGATGACGAAGCTTTCAACCTTTATGCAAGTGGAGTCAGTGCTGACACGGTCCGGTTGGCATTAGCTTTTGCGGCCCATCGGCGATGGTCCGGAGGCACTTCAGACGTGACTGGGGCCTTTTTATTGGCGGAGTGGCCAGATCATCTAGCACGTTATGCCATTTTCCCTCCGAAGGTGTTGGTCGAAGCTGGATTAGCGCGTGCTGATGAGGCTTGGGAGGTCATTCGGCCTTTATACGGCTTGCGAGAATCACCGGCCATCTGGGCCAAGTGCAGAACAGATAGGCTGAGGGAAGCAAAGATTGCCTATCAGGGCCGGACTATCGCACTGAAGCAGTCAGTTGGGGATCCTGAGCTATGGCTTGCTTTCGACGAGGACGAGGTCATGCGGGCGAAGGCGGCCTTTTAGCCCTGCTCATCACCTACGTTGATGATCTCCTCTATCTGGCGAATAAGTCCCTGATTGCAGCACTGCACTCCTGGGTACAAGAAGCTTGGCCGTGTAGCGAGCTCGAGTGGGCAGACAGCAAGGAGGGCACGAGGTACCTTGGCATGGAAATCCACCAAAGGCCAGACTATGCGTTTGAGTTGTCGCAGAGGGCTACATCCGCGAGTTGCTAAGAGCCTACGACATGGAGGAGACTTTGTCAACGAAGCTGCCCTGTCCGCGCGAATGGCTTGGAGAGGATTCGGAAGAAGAAAACTACACCGTGCAAGAGCTCAAGCAAGGACAGAAGGCGGTTGGGGAACAGTTGTGGTTGATGATGAGGTGCCGCCCTGACTTGCAGTTCCCGGTCGGATACCTCGCCGCCAAGGTCAGTAAGCAGCCCAACCGGGTGGTACAGATTGCGAAAAGACTCCTCGCTTACCTCAAGGCAACGGTTTCAATGAAAATGGTGATTGGTGCAACAAGGCCGGAGACCGAGCTACCGAACATGGCCGCGTGGAGCGATGCAAGCTTCTCACCACATGGTGAAAAGTCTTATGGGGCTTCAGTGGTGACTATCAATGGTTCGCCGATAGCGTGGAAGGCTTCCAAGCAGGCTTTCGTAACACTTTCTGTGATGGAAGCAGAACTGCTGGAAGCTTCTACGGCAACGCTGCTCATGGAGAACATCGGATGCCTGCTGGACGAGATCTGTGGCAGCCGCGTGGAGCGTAAGCTGTTCGTGGACAACGCTTCGGCAGTGGCAATGCTGGTGGGAGGACCGGGTTCTTGGCGAACCCGCCACCTCAAGGTCCGAAGTGCAAGACTACGGGAGCAGGTCGAGGCCCAGGAGTTGGCGGTGAACCATGTGAATGGCACAGCACAGATAGCCGACCTGGCTACCAAAATGCATCCAAAAATGCGCCTGTGGGAGTTGCTGTCAATGTGGGGTTTTGAGGGTCTCCCTGGAGATGCGGTCGAAGCCCTTCAATCTAAGGCTACCTACTTGGCATGTTTGGTGCTGGCTATGATGTGTCAGCCAACAGAAGCGAAGGAAGTTTCAGCGGCCTCCATCCAAGTGGCAGGCATGGACGAGCTACTGTTGGTCACCGTGTTGGTTTGTATAGCTACGGTCGCCGTCTGGGAAGCTGCTAAGTGGGCCTTCCAATGCGTGAAGAGGGCATGCAAGGAGAGCCCGAAACAAGGAAGCTTCGCAGATTGCGAGAAGAAAACAGAGCAGCAGCTGAGGAGGAGGTGGATCGAGCAGTGACACACCGATCTATTGAGGCGGAGGAACCTTTGACCCCTCCAACCACAAGAAGGCCTATTACCCCTCCGCGATCGTCCTCTTCAGTGCCAAGGAACATGGAACCAAAGCACCCTACAGGATGTGCTTTTGAAGCATGCCCGTTGGACGCATTTTACAAGACGGACTCCAGTAGGTCTAAACTACATACAGATCCTCACTGCCACGGACTTCGGAATGCCGGAACAGTGTACAAAGTTGAGTACTGTGCGTATTGTTCCAAGACCGAACCCTTGTTCGTCAGAAGGTCTCAGTCGGCGCCAAAGAGGAACTTCTAAAGTTCGTAGCTGGTGGAACCAGCTATGCATGTCAGAGCTGTGGAGCAGCTTTAATTACTGGACTGATGAGCTGGTGATCCAACGGCGTGGCCACCGGATCAAGGAGGAGTGTTGATATGAGATGCTCCTCGACAAGAGCCTAATGTGGCTCAATCAGCTACCTTGATCTTTGCATGAAGGCTTCGTAATAAAAACTTTGTGCAGGAAGCTTTCAACTACACATGTTGCTGTTCTGTGAAAAAGGGACCTTCAAATTCGCCGTGCCATGGACTTGTTCTGAACGATACCGAGAAGATTAGCATGGCTTCGCATGCACAAGACCAGGCCGTTTCAGGGAGTAGATCCCAACACAAGTCCTCTGCAACCCTCGAAATACCCCAGCACCTCGGAACCCGAAACAATAAATCGAACGTGAGAGCTGAGTTCCAAAACCCGACCCCCTGAATTCTAACCGTCTGCATCCAGAGCGCTGTGTACTCAGAAAGCACAAGACTTCAAGACAGGCCAAGAGTCCAAAGCAGGTCCGAGAACAGCACCACGGCCTCATCCGAAGCTTAAGGCTTCTTGGGTTAGGGTTTAGGGTTTAGGTGCAGTGTGGGATTTAGGAATAAGGTTTGAGATTTGGGGTCTGCTCGCAAGGTCCGACAACCCCCCCCGTACCCCGGCTTCACGAAAGCCTCGAGATCAGGTTTCGTGTGTAAGATGAAACCAACCTCCAGCCATCTAGAACATCACCGGGAAACCCCAAAAGAAGAATTCATGACGTATGAGTTGGGTGGAACAGTGGCCACAGGAACTAGCGCGGGCAATTTCAAGGGGCCTAGTATTCCCGTCGATTACTCGCAGAGCTGCAGGACAGGCGATCATCACGTTAATATGTATAGATTTGTAACGTACTGGTTAACTCTCTCTCTCTCTGTCTCTCTCTCTCTCTCTGTCTCTGTATATATCTATATACATACGCATACGTATGCGCACGTATATCTCTTTAGAACAAGTTAGGTAGATAGGCTGGGAACCATTCGGGAGAGCCAAGAGGCCGGATGGCAGATGGGCTTCGGGTTGCCGGCCTTGACAATCCAGCGAAGGGCCTTTTCCACTGCCGCCAGGTGGTTCGGTTTCAGGGCTTAGGGGTTTAGGGGGTAAGTTTGGAAGTTGTGTGGTTGCTGAATCTGGGGTTAGGTTTAAGGGCTCGGTACGATTGGAAGCTGTTTCGCTGTTGAATTTGGGACCAGGTCTAGGTTTAAGGGCTTCCTGGCTTTGGGCTTGGGGTTCTTGGGTGGGCTTATTCTTAGGTGTCTTCGATCCCTATCTTCCTCCCGGCCTCCGAAATCTAAAGGCCCAAAGCTCGAGCAGAAACCCTGGGCCCCTGGGAGCGCGACTTCAGAGAACTCCGAAAGTTTCGCAGCCCAGGAGCCGGATTCAATGCATGTGGGTAGTTTTCTAAATTAGGATCCCTTTTGGGGTCCTTTTGATAAGGGTGCCGTACTATATTGGGGACCCAAACAGGGACCCCAATTTGGAGACCTGCCCAGATGGAAAGAGGGCCTTTGCATCCCTTTTAGGCAGGACCTACTGCTGTTTCAAGCACCAAGCAATCCATGTAGTCTTCTGCAGTGCGAAATGTTTATGAATGCTGTTCTTATACGTGCTGCCGTAGCCAAGGTTGGGCTTCATCGCTATACTCATTACTAGATCACTGAAGCAGCCTTGTTCACGCCGTTCTCAGCGTTGACAAGCAGGTGCTTCACCTTCCGGACAGGCAGAGCCCTCGCGGCAAAGAGACATGAGGCTCTCAAAACTTGTAGCCACTGCAGCGCGCTTGAATCTCGCGGTGTTCTCGCGCGGAACCGGTTCCCCCATAGGCTACTACAGTACCTCGAAGCTCGAAGCGGCTGCGATTCGTCAGAGTTGGATTCATTGGAGTTGGCTTCGCTTCTTGCCAGGGCACATAGTAGTTCACCCGTCGTTTGCCTTTGATGGCCAGTCGGGACCGCCATATCCTCGGATTCGAGTACAAGGAGCACGTTTTGCTAGAACTACATTTCGGAATCCCAAGGAATACGTTTACGATCGTACTCGTTATTAAGACCCCAAGATTCTGCGACTGTAATGGCCTGGAAAGCAAAAAGTAACCGGGCGTTCTACACATGCCCTGGAATCTCCATCGTTTAATGTAGTCAATCGTCAATGTTAGGGTTTAGCCTTTAGGGCTTGGGGCTTCTGGGACATGAAAATCTTAACTGAAGCTGAACCGACTCGGGTCCTCCATCAAATTTGGACAGACTTTCTTGTGGCTCTACTAGCAGCAGCCATGAGCAGGGATGCATGAAGTGCCAATGTGAGGTCGACGGACTTAATTTCAAGGTGTTTTCCACCACCCCATACTGCCAATCCCTTTGAGAGACGGGGGTGTCGTGCTGCACAATAGTTGCAGATGCAGCGGCAGACCGTCTAGCAGCACAGTGAGGTGTTCCGAGTCAACGATCCGCTTGATGATGTCCTACATGCGTGGCACGATGGGCTCGCTGGCAAACGCTGGACAAAACAGAATCGAAACCCGACAGCCTAAAGCTGCAGAAGCACATGCCCGAGGGACCATGGGTTTCAGGGTTACGTGGGGATTCGGGTGTAAGGTAGAGGCCTTAGTGATTAGAAAAATAGGGCTTGTGGGCTCCTTTTTATAATATATTCATAACAAGGAACACCCAAACCAGTGTTGGTAGCTATTCAGGCCCCTATTCAAGGTTTGCATGGCCTTGGCTGGAGATGGGCATGGCCCCCCCCTCCCCCCCCCGAGGACCGACAGCTACATCCTTCCCTGCGGGGTCCGGGTGACGACTGAAGAGCTCGTCACAGCCGTAGAAATAGTTATCACCTCAGCAAACGAAAGACCCTAAACCCTAAACCCTCAACTCTCACAACTATGACAATGATTAATATGGCAGAAACATCTATTCATCAAGTGTGAGCCTCATCTTCATCTCAATGGCCGGCCTAGCAACACTAGCAGATTCCTTTCAAAGGCTCCCTTCAGGTGCGGGGGTTGATCCCACACCTACATATCACTGAAGACCTGTCCGCCTTTCGTGAACATGCGGGTTATGCTTCAAGGTGGCTTACTTGGAGGATCATGGGACTTAGTAAGTAAGGTTATAAGTCCCTTATTTGGGGTTATAGTATAGTTACCCTAATTATAACCCTACTTACTAAGTCCCTTGAACCTTTAAGCAGCATGACGTAGGAGACCATGAGTTGAATTGAAGTGATAGGCAGCGTGCCGGTTCTGGGTACACCGCACACCTGTAAACCGCACGCCCATTCCCACAGCCTCCAAGCCCTTCGGCCCTACACCCGGGCGACCAACATCAACCCAGGGTTTAGGGCCTTAGAGGTTCAGGGTTTAGGGTTTAGGGTTTAGGGTTCAAAACCCCCAAACCCTCAAAATCCTCAAGCCCTCACAGCCGAAATCTTCTCAACACCCACAAGGCAACGAGGAGTCGCAGATGAACTTAGGAAGCGGCGGTCGGCGCGGATGGTCAGAAGATCTTGGAGCATGGCCTCGTCTCTCTTGCGGGGAAGAACATCATTCGACGAGGCTCGGGGTGTTAGGGTTTAGGGTTTGCAGGGTTTAGGGGTTTTTCAAGCCTCTGCCCAACAGGAACCCAATACTTGGAGGTTCATGGGACTTAGTAAGTAGGGTTATCATTGGGGTAACTATACTTATAACCCCAAATAAGGGACTTATAACCTTACTTACTAAGTCCCATGATCCTCCAAGCCCTAAACCCTAAACCCTAAACCCTGAACCCTATATAACCTTACTTACTAAGTCCCATGATCCTCTAAGTAGAGATCCCAAATACCGCAGGCTTTCGCCAAAGCGGGGTGTCGGGCCCATGCCTTTCTCCACCCGAAGCCCTCCACTGAACTGCTTTGGGTCCGGGGTGTAGGGCTGAAAGCTTAAATCCTGCGCATGGTGCTTTGTTGCATTGGAGCCCACTTCCCGATCCGTTCTTTTAGGACTACGATTTCCTGGCTCAGAGCATGACTATATAAATTAGGTCTACTGGAGTGTTAGGCGGATGTCTCGTTTGAAACATTGACGATACCCAGGACCAATGCGATCAATTACTCAGACCCCTACAAAGCCCTTACACAACTCAATATACAGCACTCGCAGTAAACAAAAAAACAACTTCAACAAACACCTGGCAAACCCCCATCATGGTAAAGAGCTACCTTAACCTACCAGAACCCACTTTTTTGTAGGTTCTTACTATAAACCCTAATATGGGACTTATCGGGACCCTACAAAAAAGTAGGTTCTGGTAGGTTAAGGATACAAAACCGAAAGCAAAGCCCAAGGGCCCTAAACCCTAAACCCTAAACAGCTACAAAACCAAAAGCAAAGCCCATACCCTAAAACCAAAACCCTAAACCCTAAACCCTAAAACCTAAACCCTGAACCCTAAGCAGCTACAAAACCTTTAGCAAAGCCCAAGGGCCTGATAACCCTAAACCCTGAACCCTAAACAGCTACAAAACCTTTAGCAATTCCCAAGGGGCCTTGGCCGTCTTCAGTGAGCCACTCTGCAGTGCCCAGTCCAAGGGCGAGATGGACTGGGAGCCCACGGTGATGTTCAGGAGCCAAACCTTGTGGGTTTAGGGTTTAGGGTTTAGGGT